TCACTTAGTCAGATGTCACAATTAACTAAACTTGCTTTATATGACAACGGAAATTATAGTATTTTACCAGATGGTAGAAAATGGGAAGAACTAATAAAATCCTCATTACCATTACTGAAAACTTTTCAATTTTGTTTTTATTTTCTTTTTTATCGTAATACATTAGATAACATTAATCGAGCCATATCTTCGTTTTCTACTCCATTTTATCTAGTAGAAAAGTATTGGTTTACTCGATGTGATTTCAATAATCAATATTCTGCATTGGGTGCTTTATATACATTGCCTTTTGCGTTTCCAAAAATGAGAATTGATATAAATTCATGTGACATGAGTACATCAACTTTAGTTACAAGTAACATTGACAAAAAACAGTACGAGTCATATGAAAAAGTTGAAACATTACTATATAATGAAAAATGTCAAAGACCCTGTGAAGCTTTTCTTACATTCAACATTAGTCGATTAGTTCTCAATACTAGACTTCCTACAAGTTGGTATTTTCTATTAAACAATTTACGGCATCTTAAAATTCGAAGACATATAGTTATGTCTGCAACTGGTTTTGCAAACTTCCTTATGAATGCACCTCAACTTCAGTCATTAACAATACTTATTTCAGTCTTAATTAAACTAACAGATTCATTTACAAATAAGACTGTTTGTGATCAATTATCTAAACGAATTCAATCCTTAACTATATCTGATACCTCGTCAATTCATGAATATGATCAAAATATGGACGAAGCATATATTCTATCTAGTATTGTTCGTATATTTGGTAATACATGTGAACATTTATCATTAAATTTACCAACAATTCCCCAAACAGTATTACCAATTTTACGAAATATGGAACAATTACGTAGTTTACATATCTGTTATCCTTATTGGCGTTGTAAATCGAATGTTTCTGCAACATCTTGGTTTCAACAATCAATATTTGAAACTAATGTATCTGATTTTTTTTTTAGTCCAGATGAACGTAATTTTTACGTATGGTTTGGAAAATGATCATAGTAAAGAATATGAAAAATCTTACAAGTGTTTCTACGAGTGAATAAGAAGTTTGGAACTTGCTATATCTTATGAATGACATATTTAGATATAGTTGTAACTTGTTTTATTATAATAATATTAAAATATGATATAATAATATACAAACAATTTTTTTCCTTTTCTAGATGTCGCTAATTTCAAGAAGACTTGTATATAAAATATAATAGAGGTCGATGAAGTGGGGAAATGAAGCTAGGGAGTGAGAGAGCATACAGCTGATCGTGTTTCACAATTAGACTTGAACAAGCAAAACACGTATAAAAAGAAAGAAAGAAAGAAAGGTTTCGAATGAATCAAACAAGAAAACTTCTCGAACTTTCATTTTATTCTGTTTGGTTGATACTTCACATTGATTTATCAATGAAACAATGAGTAACACATTTATCGCAAAATCGCAGATAAAGAATATTATTTCGTCAATCATTATCAACAATTTCAGAATATTGAAATCGATGTTTGCTACCCAAACTAGACATTCAAATCTAATAAGAATGTTTTTCTTTTTTAAGATATATTCTTATATAGTAAAATTCACAACGTAATAGTAGTAAAATAATGGAAGCTGATCCAGATGAACTTTTGGCTTGGCTTAAAGGCGATGGAAGTAGTGAACGTGATCTTCAAATGATTGCACTTGAACAATTATGTAAGTTTAGTTATTAACGAAGTGTAAGATAAACAATTTTTATAGTTATAACAGTTTAGTAATGTTCTTTTAGTTTAATCGATAGAATAAGAAATGAAATATATTTCAAAAATTTTTCGAATATTTTTATCTTTAGGTATGCTAGTCTTAATGAGTGATAATATCGACCGATGTTTTGAACAGTATGTATTTATTAAAAGATATTTATTCATTTGATTATATTTCACTTTTTTCTAGGTATAAACCTCAACTTTTCCTTCCTGGTAAATTTTTAAATAAAACAAAAAATGCAAAGCAAAAACATTCTTTTCTAAATTTTAATCTTAATTTTTTTTTATTTAAGCTCTCTGTGATATATTCAATGATCCATTAGTTCCAACACATATTCTTGAAGTAACAGCACGTGCTTTGACATATTTTCTTGATGTATCTGTTGATTGTGCAAAAAAAATTACATCACATTCAACTGTTATACGTTCAATGTGTAATTGTTTACAAGTTGTTGATATTGAAGATCGTACAAATAAAGATTTAGCTGAACAAATTATTAAAGTATTTGAACGTTTATGTTTACGAGAAGCATCAAGTATATATGAACAAGATGGTCTTCGTTATGTAATTGAATTTATTAATAATTGTTATTCTGTTATACATAAAGATTCATTACAATCAGCTTTAAATGTTGTTATTAAATTAATTGGAAAAATTGATCCACAAAATTCTTCAACACTTGATCAAACAATTGAATCATTATCAAATTTACTTTTACATGATGATCCATTTGTAGCTGATAATGCATTGAGATGTTTTGCAACATTAGCTGATAGGTTTGTTTAAGAATTTATTTATCGAATTTAGATTTATTTTTATTATTGTATTTGAATAGATTTTCAAGAAAAAATGTTGATCCTGAACCATTAATGCGTTATTGTCTAAAAGATGTTCTTCTTCGTTCATTACATCATGTATCAAAATCATCAACCGATGTAACAGGAACACATAATATATCAAATGTACGTGGCATTATAACAAATCTTTCAGTTGTTACGGGTTTATTATCAACTCTTTGTCGTGGTAGTGCAAAAGTAACATATGATTTACTTCGTTCTGATCTTCCAGATGCACTTGAATCAGCTTTATGTAGTGGAGATGAACGATGTGTATTGGATATAATGCGTTTTCTTGATTTGCTCATTGGTTTACTCTTTGAAGGTTAGATTATATATTTATAATGTTAATCAAACTTTTTTTTCTAATATAAAGAATAGATAGTTACACGAACGTAGAAAAAACTTATGCCTTTTGGAAAAAGAAAATTTTTGAATAGTTTTTTGAGTTTAATAAGAATATTAATGTTATATTTTAAAGTAACGTTTCATATTTCAACTCATGTTCTAAGTTAAAAAAAATTACAGGTAATGTCTGCTAGTTGTTAAGAATATTGAGAAGCGGTGACTTTTGAGAGAATCTCCTCAAATGATTCCTTCACATTTCGATGATTGTTTGTCTTTAGATAATACATATCATTTTAATAAAAATCTTAAGAGAATTCCATTTTCTATTTAATTTGACTAAATTATCGAATTTTTGATGTCTCTTTTCAAGAGACACTAGTTCTTTGGACAACTGGTATTCTCGATTTTTGATTTGAACTATTTTGTATATAGAGAACTGAACTAGACTATTTTCTACAAAATATTCAGAGTTTTTGCATAAAGTCTCTTCGAGATATGAAATTTTCAAATTATAGACCCGTTTTTCATGGATAATGTACACAATATGTACCTTTTGAAAACGTTTAAATTTTTTAATGACAACTAATTTAGTTGGGTTCTTTATATATACCGAGTTTCAGATAGAAATTCCATAGCTTAGTAAAAACTCAATAGCAATGGAAATCCTTAAAATTGAAATAGAACATGTGAGAAAGTTCCTTCTGTAAATAGTCAAAATCTGCTTATAAAAGTTTTTAAATACTTCTAAACACATGACTATAAGGATATTCGACATCTACAGTCAGAAGTTTGAAAGTTTCATATCATCATTTGAGATTTGCATAGAATTCCTCCAATTTCATTTTGATGATAAAATACTAATCGAAAGTTATATAAATGAAAACTGAAGTTCTTTTCTATAAAATATCTATAACTTCCACATGATTATTATTCAAAAAGAAAAAAATTTTTTTTTTAAGGACGTCAAACACTTGCTCGTCCTGGAAATATTCCACGTACAACAAATTCTATAATTCCAACAAGTGAATCATCACAAAATTCATCATCAATACCAACTGCAACACCATCTGATCGTTCACAACAACAAATAATTGAATATATTCGTTCACGTGATGTACAAGCATTTATAAATTATATTGAAGAAAATAATATTGATATTAATTATACTGATCATGTTGGTCAAACAATGCTCAATTGGGTATCTGCATTTGGTACACGTGAAATGGTTGAATATTTATGTCGACGTGGTGCTGATGTTAATCGTGGTCAACGTTCATCATCATTACATTATGCTGCTTGTTTTGGACGTCCATCAATTGTTCGTATATTATTAAAATATGGTGGTAATATTGATTTACGTGATGAAGATGGTCGAACAGCATTAGATAAAGCACGTGAACGACAAGATGATAGTCATCAAGAAGTTATTGATATACTTCAATCATCACATGAATGGAATGATACTAAACAAACATCAATAAATAATTCAATTATTGAACAAACAAAAGATAATATTGAAATACAATTAATTTATTTAGAACGTTTATTATCAATATTTTGTCAATTATATCAAAATACAATGATATTAACAATAAAACGTAGTACATTACGTTTAATAACAAAATTATTACAATATTCAACAATTGAACAAATTCGACAATTAAATATTTTAACAAATGTATTTGAATTATTATCAACAATATTAAATATAAATGAAGATGATGATGATACATCAAATCTTGTTTTATTAATAATTAAAAATTTATTTGAAAAAGATCGATATTTATTTCTTGAACAATTTCAATATTTAGGTTTAATATCAAAAATAACAACATTAGCATTATCACATGATATTAAAACTGATAATTTACAACAATTATTAACAATAAATATTATTCCTATTGATACAAAAGATATACTTTGTTATAGACCATATGTATGGAATGAATTTAATTTTTTACGTAATCGTGAATGTTTATATGTATGGAATAATTTTATTATTATTGAATTATCTATGGGTTCAAATGGTTGGTTTAGATATTTTGCTAATAATTCTTTATCAACAATGTATTCATCAGGTTCATATATATTTGTTTGTTTTTCTCTTGTATTTATTTTAAATAATTTTTATAGGAAGTCCAGAAACAAATATTGATACAGATGAAAATCGTCATGAATTTATTGAAAAATTTCAACGATTAAAACAACAAGTTCTTGATGGTGTTGGACAAGAAAAAGATATTGAAAAACAAAATATTATTATTGCAAGAACTATTTTTACATCAGATACTTCAAACGAACGAATAATTACTGCTGGAAATTGGACAATTCAATCTAAAGGACCTACAACAATTGAAATTCATAATGTTGAAGGCGAACAGGTTAGATTAAATAAAATTTTTAAAAAAATATAATCAAAATTATATACTACATAAAGAATATAAATTAAAGAAAAATTTATAAATTTGAAAAGAAAGTGTTTAGAATTATGATCATTGGTATGAAAAAAAAAACGGTCAACTGTCATTTGAAAATCATAAGACACGAGAAAAGTCTTCCGACTGATAAATCACTTTTGTAATGAGTTTTGAATATCTTGAAAAGAGTTCATGTTCTTAGTTTATTGCTGTCGAGATACTGTACTTTTGCACTATTTTTTTAAATGAATGCAAGAACAGTACCAAAACTGATGTTCGAATTGTGACTTGAAGCTTTGCATAGAGATAGACCTTGACGAGTAATATGAAAGTTTTTGAGCTTTTAATTCGTTTTTATTCTAAGGTGTTCATGACATCTCCATATAAAATATTGTAAAAGTGTAGTACCTTTGCAGCAATAAGCAAAGGGTACGATCTCTTTTCAAAGTATTCACAGATTATTTGTGTCCATACGATACACATAGTTTCAACTGAAAAGCGATTTATCAGTTGCAGGATTTCTGTTATTAGTAATAATTCAATCAACTAAACTTAAACTTTTAGAGAATATTGTCCAATAGTTAAATATTATCATCGCGAAGTTTGAAGAAAGGATGTTTTACTAAACAAAAATAGCATAGATGATGATCATTGTTT